TAACTTGGCGCCAGTTGTTGATATCAAATCTTTTATACAAATGATACATATCATTAGTTCTACTAAACAGCAAACGTGATTAATCATTAGTTTCACGGCCGATTAAGTAATTGGCGTTAGTGAAACTGGCTCAAATGATGATTCTTTACGAAAAGCACACACGCTTCGCGCTTTTTTTACCTTTTTTGAAAAAGGTAAGTTTGTATACGATCATATATAGAATATAAATTCAATTTAATAATACATACCATTAGATTAATATTCATTATTTATTTAATTTGGCATGGTATAAAGAAGTGGGATTTAACTTGGCGCCAGTTTTTGATATCAAATCTTTTATAGGAATGATACATATATTATTAAAGTTAATATTATTTATTTAATTTGGTATTCGAATTACATGGAATTTAACTTGGCGCCAATTGTTGTAATACATACCGTTAGATTAATATTTATTATTTATTTAATTTGGCATAGTATAAAAAAGTGGGATTTAACTTGGCGCCAGTTCTTGATATCGAATCTTTTTTATACGAATGATACATATCATTAGAATTAAATAAATATTAAGAAAAAAATTAAAGTTATTATTATAATAATTTTTGAAGGGGAATAAAGCCATTATAACTTGGGTTGGAATATATCATATACAAAGAATTTCATCAAACAGCAAACGCAATTAGTCATCAGTTCCACGGCCGATTAAGTAATGACGTTGGTGAAATCGGCACAAATGGTGGTTAGTTTCCACACGAGAAGCACGCATGCATAGCGCTTTTTTACCCCTATTAAGCTGGACCCCCCACCAGCGCAAATCGGGTCCGGACATATTGAAAAATTTAGTGCTCTTTTGTTGCTAATTTGTTGCTCCAGAAAGAATTTTGTTGCTCCAGCCGTGCCGCAGTAAAAAAAATAAATAATGGGTGGGTCCAGCTTAATAGAAAGCTGGACCCCCCATAGTCAAAAAACGAATATAGAGCTGCAATATCAAAAAAACAAGTACACCAGATTTTGTTGCTTTTTTGTTGCTCCAAAATAGTGCAAAGAAACATCAAAAAAATTCATTTGTTAAACAAATATCCATAAATTAACAAAATTACATCGTCACGCGTCGCAGCGTTATGACTAAAAGATACATGTACAGAGTTAGTTGCTCGGAAATTTTTGGTACCAAAATGTTCCTTGTAAAGTATACTATCGAAA